GCTCAAACTTTGAAGGAGCAAGCCCTAAATCAATTAACAGGTCAGAGGGGGCGTGGAAGAAAACGTTTAAAACGAAAGAAAAATCAGAGGAGTCTCAGTTCAAATCAAACCACCGGTGTGAAAAGAGTAAAAACCTCTCCAACAAAGAAGCGCAAGTCGAATCAATCACAGGGTCGAGTTAAACGATCTAAAGTCACTCACCTTCAAAAAGATATATTTGATTAATCATGGCYTTTGTTCACCCCCACTCATCGCCTTGTACAAAAAGTGAAGYAGACCTGTTTTCCGCCCCACCAACACAAGTCGCTTTGGAAARGAGCAGTTGGATAGACTTTCAACCTRTATCAAGCATAGCCTCTTCGGCRCCGAYTGAATTCCAGATCGTAGGAACTGATCAGTACTTAGACTTAGCCAAGACCATGTTATTCATCCGTTTGAAAATCACCAAAGCCAATGGGGGTAACCTTAMTGATAAAGAAAAAGTTGCTCCTGTCAACCTGTTTTTACAGAGTTTATTCAAGCAAGTTGATGTATTCCTCAATGGGGYATTGATTACKTCATCAACRAGTACTTACAGTTACAAAAGTYTCATTGAAACACTGTTGRACTATGGACCAGCAGCCAAGCAGTCTGCACTCACAGGATCCCTGTATTACAAAGATACTGCAGGTTCCATGGATTCCACAGACCCCACAGATGGTGGAACCAATCAAGGACTTCAATCCCGTTACACGTTTACAGAGCAGAGTTACATTTGTGATATGTGGGGGTCTTTACACTGCGACATTTTATTCAGCGAACGCCTTTTACTGAATAAAGTAAATGTAACCATTAAATTGATTCCCAACCCACCCGCTTTTGCTTTGATTTCTGGGGAGACCAGTCCTAATTACAAAATCAACATTCAAAGTGCAGTTCTCAAAGTGAGATCGGTGAAAGTCAGTCCATCCTTACAACTATCACATTTGAATCAATTAAAAAAGGGAGMAACTGCTAAGTATCCTTTTCGTCGTGTGGAATGTAAGACCTACACCATSCCTAGTGGTAACCCCTCTATTCATAAAGGAGATTTGTTTAATGGTGGCGTCCCAAAAGAAGCTGTAATTTGTATGGTGGATTCRGATGCATTCAATGGTAGTTACACCAAAAACC